AGGGGCCGCCGAAGGGCGGGGGGCTGTGGGATTGCTTCCTCCCCTCCTCCCCTCCGCGCGGCCTGGGCGGTGGGGCGCGGCCTCCCCGTCCCCTCAGATAGCCCGGGGCGGAGTCTGGGCCCCCTGGCCGTCAGTTCTTCCCCGGCACCGGGATGCACGTGCGGAGGTCGAGAGTTGGGTCTGCGCCTCCCCGCTTGACAAGGCGGGGAGGGTGGGGCAAGTGCCGGTGACGTCAGCAAGCCCCCCCCAGCTCAGTCTGCCCCTCCGGGTGCAGCGGGAAGGGCCCGTATGGCGGAGCGCGGCCCCCCCGCCCAGGACTGGCCCCCTAGAGTTGAGCTCTCGCTCGGGGCGAGCGTGGCCCCCCATGGAGGCCAGTCTGCCCCCTCGCCCCTTGCAGGAGAGCGAAGAAGGGGTAAGGTGCACGGAGAGTAGCCTCTAAATACAACGCTGGCCCCATAGAGTTGAATCGGTGCTTTTCCTCTGCAGGAAAGGGAGGTGGGGTTCAGATGCTTGGGCGTTAGCCCCTAAAGGTAACTTGACCCCATAGAGTTGAATCTGTGTTTTCTCCCTTTGCAAGAGGGGGAGAGGAGATCAAGGGCATGGAAATTAGCCCCTAAAGAGGCATTGCCTTTATAGTAAAGTGCAGCCCTCCCACCAGGACTGGCCCTATAGAGTGATCATTCTCATCACATGCACACGGGGGGGGGGGGAGAGGCCAATCTGCCCCCTCCCCTTGGCAAGAAAGGAAGGAGGGGCTTTAGTGTATGGAAAATATTTTGTAAACCTAGCATTGCCTTTATAGTAAAGTGCACCCCCCCCAGGGCTGACCTTAGAGTTGGGCGTCCTGATCACATGCACAGGAGGAGCATTGCACCCCATAGAATTCAATCTACCTCCTCCCCCTTTGCAGGAAAGGGAGGAGGGACTCAAATGCATGGAAAATAGCCCCTGAAGACAACATTGACCATTAGAGTTAAATTTCTTCCCTCTCTCAGATGCACTGGGAAAGTATTAGTAGAGCCCTCCGGGCCCCCCCCCCATAGAATCGAAAATTCTCAGAGGCGGAGTATGTCCCCCATAGAGCTGAATGTTTCCCCAACATAGTGCTAAAATAGAGAGCAGAGGCAGGACAAAAAAGGTGGTAGTAATTGATTACTGTTTGATATTAATAGCAAGTTGCATTCATAACATTAAATGCTCACCTATCTGTATATGTCCAGTCTCTTGTAGAGAAAAGCACACACTAAACTCTTACTTACTCCCACTCCCTTTCCACCAGAGAGGGCAAAGAGAATAAAAGCAAGTTGGGCATTACGTAATATGCAAACAAGGGAGGAAACGAAAGAGAAATGCCTCTTGGATGAATAAAAGTGAAAACTTATGAAAGTTTTGATTTGGGCAGGTAATTTTAAGATGTTCTTCAACCCAAAAGGCACAGTGTTCAAGAAGAATGAACAGGAGGGACTAAGTAACAAATGTAAGGATTGGATTTTTCAACCCAAATTGAAAATGTGATTTGTTTAACTGAACTTGTTTAACTTAGTGTGAGATGTCTTAGTTTGTGAATTAGTTCATGGCTTGGTGTGACATATGAACTCGGATATTGTTGCTTGTTTAAGAAAGGAATCTGCAAGGAATAGATGAAATACATTGCTAATAAAACAAGGTAAAATAAGGCAGCTGTCCAGCAGTTGTAATGGATTTAAAAATGTCCGGTTTGCGCAGAGTTTTCTGCCAATTTGCCGAGGGGGGGGGAATACAAAGGCCCTTTGTCCTTTCTGGTTCTTCCTTGTCTTCTGTGCTGTTGAAGGAGACACACATGACCATGTTGGGGAATTTCTGGAGTATTAGAAACTTGTAATCTGGAAATCCATTTTGATCCCAAACAGAACTCCCATTCTCAAGCCTTGGTTTTTATTCTCAAATATAGGATCTGTTCGCTGACTTTCTGAGTTGCTGTTTTTAAACTGTAGCTTTCTCATTCAGCTTCCTCTAATATTCAATTCAGTTCTGTTTGGCTGGTCATTGTACACTGTGAATTTCATCCATGCTAGAGATAGGACACATTGAATGGGAGGCAAAGCTTCTTCTGTTCTGTAGCCACCAGCAGAAGTCGCTCTGCCGGCTGATTGTCCTTAGTCTTAGTGTTGTCCTGGAAAGCTCGGGTCTTGTACCTGGCGTGCAGGCCCAACAAACCACACCAGATAAGTGGAAAGAATTAAAGCTTTTATTTGCAAATAAAAGATTGACCAGGAGCAAGTTTGCTGCTCTGAACCATTGGCCTCCTGGACTCTTTCTTTTTTAGTAATTGTACAGGTTTTTAGGTTTGATGTAATTGTATATTTATTTATTGTTTTAATGAGCTGTGAGCCGCCCAGAGTCCCCCATTAGGGGGAGATGGGTGGGGATAAATTTAATAAATAAATAAATTAGTTCCAAAATAGGCACTCCCCTGCTTGGAGTGAACCTTCTTTTATACAATTCTGAGCAGCATACATAATTATAAACCAATTAAAACATACATCCCTAAAGCCGATCATGTAGAACAATGTCATACGTACATTCTTAGTAGTCATAGTAACATAATTCAATTAAAGGTAAAGAGGTACACTAAGGCTTTTATCCTACCAATAACATTCCTGAGCTAGCAAGAATTCCCAAGTAACATGGAACCAGGGTCTTGCCTAGCACCTCAAGGAACAAGCATTTCTAAAAGAAGGCAGATGGTCTGGTTTTTATTTGTTGCTGACATCTCTGCCTAACAAACAGGTCAGCCGTTGGTCAGAGCACCTCTAATAGGTAAAAACCTCATGGCTGTTTCTATATATTGAATAATAAGTAAAAGTATTCATTGAATAAAAATAGTTTATCAATGCAATACGTGAATTAAACTAGGTTAAAATAGGCTGTCTCATCATTGGGGATTTCTGTTTGTCCTTGTAATAAATTCCTTCCCCTGAATATTTCCCCTCCGGGTATGGCTGTGTGCTGGATTGTCATCAAATCTCTGTTTTTCTCTCAGTGCTGTACCTTTTATTCCTTCAAGGAACAGAAATTGAGACTCCCTTAGGGAATCTCCTTTTTTTCTGTGCGAGCGCTGAATCAAATGCACGTTGCCTGCAAATCTTGTCAACATTCATGAAGGATTCTGCATCATCAGGGAAAACACTGCATCATTCCAGGCTAGTCTGGACTGCTGGTGGTTGATTCCCTGCAGGTATCAGAATACAGGAGACTTCCATGTCATGTACTGGTATGAACTGAAACGAGCTGTAATGCATTATGAACCCAAAGACTTGCTTATTCTGTCTGCAGTGTTTTTATGAGCTGGCATCTGGGTATTTTGTGCATTCTGCAAAAATCACGTGCCAAGGTGCGGCTTTTGTGCTAACACCCCACCGGCCTCTATTACAAAATGCCTCAAATTTAGCAGTGTCTAATTGTACCAGTATAAAGATCAAACCAACCAGTGAGTTATCTTTAAAGAAAAAGGAACAGCTAAAGTTAAAAGGGAAAGAGAAGCAGAAGATAGATTTGGTGGTGTTTTGGCGGAAGCGGTTCTCAGCAACTGGCAGGAAATAATTTGCAGGTGGTAACACAGAAGGGGAAATCTGTTTTATTAGTCTGTTTCTAACTAGAATTTTATATGACTTAGAAACGTATGTTAAGCAGGTAATGCTAGCCAAAATGCCATTCTTCTGTATGCACCCTTGCTGAAGCATTACCTAATTAATAGGTATTTATAAGTCCTAGAAGAGTTCAGTTAGAAGCAGTGGCAATCTATTGTAGTTAAAGTCTGGAATTTTGTCCTAGAGCAGTGTTTCTCAACCTTAGCAACTTTAAAATGTGTGGACTTCAACTCCCAGAACTCCCCCAGCCAGCCATGCTGGGTGGGTTCTGGGAGTTGAAG